CGTATACTGTATCGATTTTCTAGTTTGACATCATCTAATGGGTTCTCCTTCGTCGCCAAAAGAGTCAATGACATTTTCGACGTGTAATTAAAAAATGTCGATTGCCCTTCGACCTTCCACTTCCGTTCAATCCGCCATGCAAAGGAGTAGCATTTAAATTCGAATTTTGCCGGAAGTGACGAAACAATTTCGTTGCTTTTCCGGTGTCGAATTTTCTTTTGTTGGTGAAGAATAAGCAAACAAACAAACAAACGACGTTTCCATTCAACTCTCCTCGTCGAGAAGCGAAAAGCGAGACGAACTGTCTTCTCGATAAATTCCCAAACACGGATCAAATTTATCGATTTCGTTTATTTCCTTGCAGTTATTATATGAAGTGGCATTAATCCATCACTTCTGCACGATCTAGATCAGAAATGAAGTTTAAAGGGGATAAAATAGACCGCGTTTATGTCGTAATTCATAAATTCGTTAATTTTACAACCGATTTTTATTTGAATAATGTCACTAATTGACAAATAAAAATTTTCGCACTTTAAAAGAAATGTTTCAGTTGTATGCGAGTGGATAAGCTACCACCCCCTTTTCGTGGAGGAGGTTCGGTAACCATAGATATATCAAAGTACACGAGCTACTTCACTGCATGGCAACGTGTATTGTACGTGTCATAAATATATTGTAACAATAAGAATATTTTACATTAATTTATCTATTTACAATACGTTTCGATTTGCCGATGTTTGATCATTTTATTTTTAAAGAATTTCACTAACGTTAAATATTTTAAATGTAAACTTAAAATGTAATGAAAAAAAATCTATTTAAACGAGAAACTAAAATTCACGTCATTTTTCATTTTAGTTTTTAAATTATTATATTTTACTGGAACAGAACCAAGGAATAGAATCCATTAGAAACATTCCTCTTTCTGGAACCAGACTATAAAATGAAAATTTCAGGTTCAGATCTCATCCAGAGACAGACGTTTTTATTAATATTTTGAATTTATCTTTTAGTTTCTTTTTTTCAACGTGTAATTCATAAGTTAGGCTTTACACTTTGTAATATTATCAAAGTTTAATATCACAATAATAGTGATTTATAGTTACAGTAAAGCAGTAGTACTGTATATACTATACGTCCACTTACCACATAATCTGAATACGAATCCCCTATCTTTTACATACGGACAAAAGACATTCCTTATAACCCTTCATTAATCTTTTACATTCCAGGAATTCCTGACGAACACAAATAAGGAGCTAACGGGTGGTCCCTTCGGGAAACGAACTGCTGACCCTATATGCGAAACTGCGTGATCTACTTAAACTATTGTAAAAATCAATCACTTTACGTTACGTGACCATTACAAATTTTTCATCATTTAACACTATTAGTGTAATTAATTACTTATTTATTAAATGATGGCGAAGTAATTCATTCAATTCCTAGATTGTAACATCGTTTCCTTTGCTAGAAAAAGATATCATTAACAATTATTATGAGTATAATATCTAATAAAGTTGCGCTGTTGTTTACTATCATAACATCAGGATATAATTTTTAGTCATTATACATTTTTATATTTAATTTACGAATTACGATAATTGCAAGTAGGTGAGAAGTTTTTCATTACATTTAGAATATCTTCAAAGAAACTCAAAGGAACTTAATTCATTAAACTTAAAGGATCAAAATTTAATCTTTTCTCTAAATCAACAGCAAATAATATTTTGAAGACTTGATCCAGCAAATTATCTAGAAAGACGTGACAAAGAAGTATAGTTTACATTCAACTTTTCGAACGAACGATATGTACAGAAGATTGAGGATTTCTATAAAACGAACTCCGAAATCCTCTCGTAAATTTAGGACCATCTCAAACAAAAAAATATTCTCTAGGGTTTCTCTTCGATTATTTCTGGGTACGAAAAATTTATCAGGAAAGACATTATCCTCTCGAAAAACAAAAGATAAATTTGTCGCCTTTTGCAACTCGTAACTCTTCCAAATGGAAACTCCATACTAAAATAAAATTTCCATAAATTTCTGTCGAGAAAGCGCTTCTTGAATGTACTTTTGTAACTATGGCAATATATTACAAGAAAGTTACATGCTCTCATTCTTCTGATTATCAATCTTATAACAGCATTTTAAAACTAAACAAAGCTTTTGATGAATATTTTAAAAACATTTTTGCCCTGTAGACACTAATAAGGTGTTTTTTCCCTTACGATCATTTCCCCATTGCCCTCATGATGGTTTAGCCAAATGAACCGTTCCACAAGTTTTCATGAATGGATTAATCCATCCATAAGAAAATTTTGAGCTAACCAGAATTCAAATTCGTGTACTCCAGTGTGGTTTAGACTGCTTGCTGCCCTTGCCTCAAGTTTCTCTCGTAAGCCTCTGCTTAAAAGAGAAACTCGTAAAAACCGGATCAGAATCTATATCGATAGAAATATGAGCAATAACTCAACTCATGTCCTAAGAATCAAATAAGAATCTTTGAATCCGGAATCTATGAAAGACATATTCTTTATCTTTAAATCGATAATTATATGAGAAAGCACCACAAATCCATAAGCCATTTCGTGGGATGACGAAACGTTCTTAAAAATCGATGCTACCGGAATCAGATGGACTTTATGAAAATTTTACCCTTCTACGTAAATATAATTTATCTCTGGAATTCCAAACAACTTTTTTAAATATTTGGTAGATTTATTAATGCATTATAAAGTGTTTATCGTCACTAAATTAAACGAGAAAAGTAATTTCCAACTGGATCTCGTCCGTCTATTAATTACTAAGCTGCACTTTATTGACGACAAACACGCTACAAAAGGGGTCTCATCATTGACACCCCTTTTGTAGCGTATTTGTTGCTTTACTAAATCTAGTAAATTCTCTTTACTATTAAATTCTGATGAATAGTAATTATTTTTGCGACAAATAGTAATTTCTCCCTGGATTTAAAAAGCTATTAATAAGCATAAATCGTTGTAAGACTGAGAAAATGCTACGTCTTTTAAACCACATTTTTATCAATTATTTATATTCACAAATCCATTTTTCACGATCCATTCACGTGAAGGATCGTGACGTGAACTGTGCATTCGAGTATGGCTTAATCATTAGAGTAGAAGAGGAACAGTGACTTAGAATGATGGTTCAGGAAAAATTTTTTTTGACAATCCTTCCCTCCACCCCCTCCAAAATGGACCGGGCAGAGAGGGAACAACGTGGCGCACGCGCCTTTCCCGTATGACTAACACGAAATGTACAGTACAGTACGTTCTCATAGGCAGCGTATTGTATTTTTATTATCAAAAAGGGCAATTGCCGCGTTTCGTTTTCTCTGATAAATGTCGCCAGATGGCCCATCGAAGTGATCTCTAGTGGACAAATCTATGGAAAAGGAAACATAAAATCTAGAAACTTTTTACAAATTGATTTGTTTAGATACATAAAATTTATGTAGACTTTAACTCTATTATTCAATAATAATAAATTAAAAAATATATATGTATATTCATATATCCAATTTTACAAACACACAAGGGAATGATAGCATGAATGGCATTCTAAATACCATACTTCTACCCGTTCCGAATCGCCGATTCCAACTCTCATTATGTAGAAAAATGGGTTTATAGATTCTCTAGCGGCAAATTTGGATCTGGGACTAAACAAGTATGCTTATTTGCTTAATACAATATATTTTAATAAAAATATTTACGAATTTTATGAACATTCTAAAACGTGACGCTTTAGAAGTGTTTATTTATTTATTTTTTTTACAACTGTACCATATATATATATATATAATTAAAATAATTCTGTGTAAATAAAATATTTAGAGACATAAATATAATTGTGCTTTTCGCGAAAGACTTTCTATTACGTTTATCCTTTATTCATTTACAACTTGATTATCAAGGACCACAAATATTCGAAGAAGCAACTCTTTTGAATTCTGTAATTAAATTTTCAAGGATTTTCACGCAATAGACTCGTGTTAAAGAGAAATTTACTTTACAAAAATTAATTGTTTCCATATAAAATCGACTAAATATGAAGTAATTCTGTAAAAATGAGCAAACGTTATGGTCATAAAACACGTTAACCTTTTAAATTTTAACAGAAATTCAACAAAGTTTTGATAATTAAATGGTTCGGAAGCAGTTTTATCGATCAGAAATGTGTAAAATCTCTTCAGAATTTCAATAAAAAATGTTATAAATAAATTGAAGATCGTATTTTCTGTTGGGTTTTTATAAGATGCTTCAGAGCAAAACACCGCCTGATAAAATGGCAATTTATGAGACGCGTTCTTTAACCATTGTTATTATTACAACGTTGCAGCATTACTACTACAATTACAGTAAATTGTAGGAAGGAAATTATATCCCATTCATTACACTGCGTAAATAAAAAAAAAAAGTAACGATCGTTACTTAAATTATAATTATAAAGCTTAATCGGCGTGAGAATGTTCCTTATTTTCTTTTACGAATCAAAGACGTGTTTTTGTTTTGATCGCATCCACCTCGATTCAGCTTCCAAGCTAATCGATTAATCGTAATCGTAGCAAAAACTATAGGAAAAAAAACGAAAATATTCTTATATTTTACGATAAAAATCAAAATTATACATAAAAAAAATAAGGTAATCATTTTATAAACAAGATATAAGTTCGATTTTTCGAAAAAAAAAAATCGATTTTTTTTCTAACAGTAAATGATTATTTAGATTTCTTTAGACGTCGTATTTGACGTAATTATGACGAAATAATTACGTATCAACTACGCATTATTACGCAATAATAAATAAATTACCGTTGGTTCCTTAACAGAAATCGTTAAAATTAACGCTACTTGTAAAATCGCCTTTCTTGTGACGTCACGACCAGTTATTAAAATTTCAAGGTTAACCTTAAGGTATGAATAAGATGGTTAAAAAGCCGAAAAGAAAGGTGATTGTAAAACGCTACTCACCCGATAGAAGATGCAGGAGTGAAGGAAATGCCGGCACTAAGAGACAATCCTAATGTTGTGCCACTGCATCAATAGGCCACTATCCTCCCGGAAGCCATGTTGGGTACCAGGTGGAGCTGTCTTCCGAATGGACGGTGACGTCAAGTCGGGGAAGGGAGAGAGATGGGAAAAAAAAAATGTTTTTTCTACATGTTTTCGGATCTTTCAAACATCATAATATGTATACTTTTTAAAATTAAAATTACATACATTTTACATAAATCTATTTAAAAGCGAAAAAACAAATTTCTATAATAAATTTGTAGCCAGATGGCGCCACAAATTATAGCACGAAAGAACTCAAAATCCATAGAAATATATCAAAAATAATTCTATAGAGTTCCTCATACATTTTTTCATGTTTCACTGATAAACGTATGACATAATTAATTTAGCATTTAAAATAAAAGATTAGATACTTTGTAGAAAAATAAAATATGCTTTAGTACGTATTGAGTACAGTATTACTCATTTAGAAAATTTAGAAGATAAAAGAATATAGTAGTTTATATTCTCCTTCTCCAGTAATTTAAAAAAAAAAAAAATGTAAGAAGAAACTCACGAAATGAATAAACAAAACTAGAAATATCTACTACTTACGTAAATAAACTTAATTAGAATTTGTAAAAAAAAAATAATAAACAAAAAAATATTTTAGTGAAAGAAGATTTATAACAAAGAGTAATAAGATACTTTTAAATAATAAACAATTAATGAAAGATGGCCGACGAGTAAAAACTGTTTGACGAACCTTATCGCCTATAATACGCAGACATAAAATATGATATAATTACTTAGAAATTAAAAAAAAAAAAACATTAAGCAAATTTAAACGTTTGTTATTTTAAACTCAATTAATCATAATTTAAAGGAATAATAAATGGAAAGTTTTTTTTGAATTTTTCAAAAGACGACTTTGAATATACAATTTTGCTTTTTTCGAATATACGAGTCGAAAGTTATATCAATAAACTTTTTGAATTTATTTTGATCGTAGCGGGTTTTCTTTGTGTATTTCCTATTACCGTTTATCATTTTAATCTTAGATTTATATAGAAAATCATGTTTTATCGTGGAGGAATCCAGGATTAAAGCACGTTTTGATATATAAAGAAGTATGTACACAAAGAACTCTGCTTAATGTCTTTTTTCGTAATATTTATCTTCAGTTTTTTTACAAGTACAGGAAATCATAAATCGGCAATTTCGTTTTTTTTAGATCATTTCTAACTTTTAATGTTGACAAGCACCTGTAAGACCAGGTGCTGCCACTACAGATGTTCTTTTGCCTTTGTTCTGTAATATCACTTTTAACTTGACTAAGATCACTTTTTGTATATCATATGGTAAGTTATTTCAAAAATTTTAAGTTATTAATCTATCAAAGAAATATACAAAGTCTCATATTTTAAATCAATATAAATGAGCTTTAATTAAATGATTTATGCTGCAATGTTTATGTACTGAGACTATTTGATAACATTCCCTTTTTTTAAATTAATAAAAAATATATAAAATTATTAGTGTCTCTAAATAAGATATATTACGTTTAATTCTTTCAATAAAATGTTTAAAAATTAGAAAAAAGTATTTATAAAATACTTATTTCTTATTACGTGGCGACATCTTGCGACATTGTTTAGTACTATTTTCTTCAATCCTTGAAATAATTGTGATATAATTTTTTGATAAAATTTAATTTCAATCAATACGAACCAATAACTTATTTTTATACAATAATTTTAATTTTTTTAAAATTTATTTAGTTAAGATTTCTCAAATTGAAAATCGATAGCAATTATATTTAATTGTATACAAATAGTTTAAGCTTCTACCTTTAAAAACACGTTTTATGTTTGTTTAAGAGGAAGAACTATAAACAATTCTAATGCTTTTTAATTGGCTATCTTCGGATGTTGGAAAATTATCTTCATCTCCAATTCTAGTTGATCATTTACAGCTTAAGGCACGAATTCTTGCCTCGAGTAAGCTAAACATTTTAAACGTTTATACAATTCCTAATGTCTAATAATATTATTATTTAAGTTTAAACATTATCTATTTTACAAATTCCTATTCTTTATTTAAATTTTCTGCTACATCACAGCATTTAAGAGCTACAAAATACAAAAGTCTTTTGATGGTAGCTAATTATTTTCTTGTATTTTTGATAAACTTTAAAGCGTATTTTTGGATAATTCTTTATTTTAATAATTATCTTATATAACATAGAGCAATCTTTTATTTTTAAAATCGTTTCTAAAGAGTTTTTTTTTAATAATTATCTTATAATAAATATTTTAAGCTTAAAAACATTTTGGATTTGATAGGAAATTTTATTCCTTAGTTAAATTTGTTCAAGGTAAAGTTTAAATTGTTAATATGATAGGGAACGGTAAAATGAATGGAACTTAGTTACAAGATAAACGTTGTAAGCTGTGAAAGAGTTGAATTCAATTCACTTCTCCATTCCAGATCAACTTTGCTGTGTGAATGAAGCATTATTCAGCAAACTCAGGTTTCTATACGTCATTCATTCATTTTCTTCGATTTTCAATGAATTTTTTTTTTCTTGTATCTAAACGTTTATTTATTCGTTATTTATCTAAAAAAATAAACCGCAATAAGAATTTAATTAGAGAAAAATTAGATCGATTCATTGAATTAATTACTAAAACTACATTTATATATATTTTTTTCTTGACTATAATATGTATTTAATTATGGAATGCCTTTATATAAACAACCGACACATATTAAAGTTATATAATAACATAGTTATATATAATGTATCTGTTTATAGTATAGCACTTGTTAAAAGCAGATCATAAGATTATAAGAAAGTAATCTTTTTGTAGTAGATTGTCCTGAAAACATTTCTAAATTATATTATTGAGAGTTTATATAAAATATTTTATCAAGATTAAATGACAATTTTTATATGCTTAAGATTTTTCTTTCGTTCTTATTAATTTGCGATTTATTAAGATAGAAAGGTAAAAAAATTTTATAATTTTAATAATTTTTTTAAATAAATTATTTTAAATTAAGATAACGATTTATTGAATTTTAAAATTTTATTATCTTTCGTGTATTTTTTTAAAATGTTTTTACGATGTTTAAAACGCAATCAACAGATAGAGAGAGACTCGTACCTGTTAAATGCGACGAATCGACTTTGTCGGCCATCTTTAAATAAAACAGTGCATGACTTTGAATTTTTATTTTGACTTATATTTGTTATCGCAACTCATGTTTGACAGATTTGTTTGTAAATGAATGGATTAAATTTAAGTTTTAATGGATTTTTGCAACGCAAGATACGAATCATAATAGATAAATGGATCGATCTTAAGACCGTCGAATATACTTTTTCATACAATCGACCATTGCTACTGTTTGAAAATATAGAAAAATCAAAACAGGAACCAGAATATAACAGGAAGAAAGCTAGAGACTATGCAAATAAGCGTGGACTTTAAAGCGAATTTATTCGCATATTTTCACGCTTCCTCGCTTTACTTTCTTCCTACGGAAGAGAAAAAGTATTAATAAGTAAATATATTGATCATTTTTACATCATTTCGTCTTTATTTTATAATATTTTAATGTTATAATAATATAATTCTATTATTTAACATACAGTGCATATAACTTTTATACAATGAAGAGTCACATCTGTTTACTTTAGAAATATCTGTCTGTACATGAGAGCGTACTGTACTGTACGTCTGTATTGTACTGTACATGTTACTAATTTGGTGTGTAAATTATAATTACACTTGTTGATTTTTGGATGGTTTCAACACCAGAAGCGGCAGTTACATTTTTTGTTGTACGTTATCCGTAGGAATACAAATGGTTGCACTGTACCATTTGTCTAACTGCCATCCGCATCAACCAGAATGCACCGAAATGCAATATAAGAAAACAGTAATAAGTAGTGCATGATTTTTCATAATTAAAAAAATTAATGCTTAATTTACTGAGCGAATAGTTTACTTATAATTTCAACACATTCTCCATACTAACAGCTAGATAAAAGTGAACGGGGGGGAGGAATTTTAGCGGTATCTTAATTAAAAAATGCTTATAAAAAATTAAATTTTATTAATTTTTGAATATAAATACGTGTTTAAATTTTAAATAAGAAATAATTTGAATAAAGATTAGAAAAAAATATATATACTTTTACATGATTTTTTCTCTCGCATCCGATATAATTTTTTGATAAAATTTAATTTCAGTCAATACGAACCAATAACTTATTTTTATACAATAATTTTAATTTTTTTAAAATTTATCTAGTTAAGATTTCTCAAATTGAAAATCGATAGCAATTATATTTAATTGTATACAAATAGTTTAAGCTTCTACCTTTAAAAACACGTTTTATGTTTGTTTAAGAGGAAGAACTATAAACAATTCTAATGCTTTTTAATTGGCTATCTTCGGATGTTGGAAAATTATCTTCATCTCCAATTCTAGTTGATCATTTACAGCTTAAGGCACGAATTCTTGCCTCGAGTAAGCTAAACATTTTAAACGTTTATACAATTCCTAATGTCTAATAATATTATTATTTAAGTTTAAACATTATCTATTTTACAAATTCCTATTCTTTATTTAAATTTTCTGCTACATCACAGCATTTAAGAGCTACAAAATACAAAAGTCTTTTGATGGTAGCTAATTATTTTCTTGTATTTTTGATAAACTTTAAAGCGTATTTTTGGATAATTCTTTATTTTAATAATTATCTTATATAACATAGAGCAATCTTTTATTTTTAAAATCGTTTCTAAAGAGTTTTTTTTTAATAATTATCTTATAATAAATATTTTAAGCTTAAAAACATTTTGGATTTGATAGGAAATTTTATTCCTTAGTTAAATTTGTTCAAGGTAAAGTTTAAATTGTTAATATGATAGGGAACGGTAAAATGAATGGAACTTAGTTACAAGATAAACGTTGTAAGCTGTGAAAGAGTTGAATTCAATTCACTTCTCCATTCCAGATCAACTTTGCTGTGTGAATGAAGCATTATTCAGCAAACTCAGGTTTCTATACGTCATTCATTCATTTTCTTCGATTTTCAATGAATTTTTTTTTTCTTGTATCTAA